AGAGCGGAGAATCGAACCCAGTTCTACCAGATTAGAGTCCAGGCTCCTAACCACTACACCACACAGGCCCTCCACTAGGCTACTCAGGCGTCTAGCTACTCTATAGGAAGACAGCCATTCGGTGTTTTTTAACTAGCAAAGCGCCCACTGTTATGGCCGGCTGATGTGGGAGGGGCAGGCAGAGAGAGGGTCCCATTGTGGAGGGGGGTTGTCCCAGGAAGTTTTGCGGCGGAGGCAGCAACAGCCTGTTTCTGTTTGCTTCCCTCCAGGAGTTCTGCTGCAGGACTTCTGAGGACGGGACCACTTCTTGTGCTCCCATCTCTCCACCAAAGCCCCCCCCACTGAGACAGCCCCCCCCCCCCAAGTCAGGGCCATTCAGTGAAAGAGGCCTGGCTGTGCTCCCGCTCTCATCAGTGTCCTCAAATGCTACACTTTGTGTTTTTGCCCCCATCTGAATGAACATTTAGCCATTCCAGGGGAGAAAGTAAACCGGTATCTGCAGAGACACTGCTGGGCAGCAGTGTTCCCTCTAAGCTGAGTCAGTGTGAGCTAGCACACAGTTTTTTAGCCTCCGGCTCACAGATTTTTGTCTCAGCTCAGGAAGGATAGCCTCAGAGCAAACTAACTGATGCGGTAGCCAAAGGGCTCGCTCACAACTTGAATGCCAGCAGCATTCTACTCATAAAGTAGAATTTTTGCGCCCAAGACTCCACAGCTGAGAGGGAACATTCTCCATTCCTGGGTTTTGCTCCTTTGCCAATGGTCTGGCCAATTCCCTTTGACCCCCCAGGACTCAACAGGCTCCCCTGAGAATCACACCTGCCCTCAACGGCGTAACTCCGCCCCTTCATTAGCATAGCCCCACCCTGAGTTCCATCTCTCCGTCACCCTTGGCCGTGATGAAGGGACGGAGCCCAGGAACTGGATCGCAACTCTACTAGCAAAGTAGCCATCCTCATGAAAGGTGGGGTGTGCATGTTGGGGGGAAGGCTTGTATACTGAAACAAGCCATAAAGGCTGCAGAGAGGGGTGCCACCCTCCAGGTGGGCCCTGGAGAACTGCTGGAAGCACAAGCGCTCCCCAGTCTACAGAGATCAGTTCCCCAGGAGGAAATGGCTGTGTCATGATCTGGGCTGTGCGAGTAAAGGCCTAGCAGGCCCAGGAAGCCTGAGTAGCAGTGGGAGGAGGCCGGGCCTACAACTCCCAGAAGCCCCTGAGAGGTTTTGGTGCCAATTTTAGCCAATCACAGAGAAAGGGGACGTCTAACAAAAGAGCTGGTACAGAAGTAGTTCTGTTCTTTCTCCCAAGAGGGCAGGCTGCTACTGGGAGAGACCCTCATCCTGAGAGGAGGAGTGAGTAGACCCAGGCCCGACTGAGACAGTGGACTAGGGACTGTGAGTCTAGTCGCGCTAGGGCATTTGGTTTCTTTTCCCTTCACCCACTTATCGTTATTGTTCTTGCACCTTGTTTGCTTCCCATATTGGGCTGGCCTCCTGTAAAAATAAACCTTTTATTTGTTGTTTACTCTTCCTGGTTCTCACGCCTATTATTCGGCCAAATAAGGGAGGTCTGAAGGTCTTGGGAGGGTGCTCTGGGCCTTCTCAAGGGATCCTAAAACCAGAGTGGTAGCAGCAACGGGTCACAGCCCATCTGAGTCATGACAGGCCGCTCTGGAAGAAGAACCCTGTGGCGTTCCACCCCACGGAGCTCCCTCCCCAAGCTTTACCCCTGAATCCCCAAGGATTTCCCAACCCAGAGCTGGCAACCCAAACGGGGGGAGATGGGTCACCCAATCACGGGAAAGGAGGACAGGCCTTCCTCTCACCCAAACAGGGTGCTGAATCCGAAAGCTCTATCTAGTCCATGAAAATTATTATTTTCTCCTACAAAAGGGACTACTGAAGCCCAGATCCGCTCTTTCTAATCGCCATCCCAGTCCCTGAGGAATGAGCCTGCATTTTCAAAGCACAGCCTCTTTGTCTATACAGCCTCAGACCCCGATTCGCTTCTTGTTTATTTTAGGGTTACTGGAGGAATGTGAAGAGCGGAATGAAAAGCCGGGCGACTGGCTCAGAGATAAAAATCGAGCGAAATGGTGGGCCTGCGACACATTGGAGGAGGAAATGAGCAACCGACGGTTGGTTACATACAGCAAAGACATCCTGCCAGAAGCGAAAGAAGAACAAGCGAAATGGCGTTTATCGGAGACCGGTGAATTTAAGCACCGTAACAGCATCTTGTGACCAGTGTTCCCTCTAAGCTGACTTAGTGTGAGCTAGCTCACAGTTTTTTAGCCTCTGGCTCACACATTTCTATCTCATCTCAGAATGGAGGGCTCCAGAGCAAACTAATTGATGCAGCAGCCAAATCACTTGCTCACAGCTTTAGTGCCAGTAGCTCACAAAGTAGAATTTTTGCTCACGAGACTCCACAGCTTAGAGGGAACATTGCTTGTGACACGTGCGGAGGGCCGCCCGGTTGCGGTTTAATACCTTGCCGATGCGATTTGCCTTTCTGCCTGTCTTGGGCTTTCCTGAAGACTTTGTACGCCTCGGTTTTGTGGTACTGCTCCAGCTCCCGCATGTAGCGCTCTTTATCTCGATCGGCTTCGTCCAGGTAGCGCTGCAATGGGAGAGGAGAATATACAGTCGAGATGACCGAGCAGACCGGTTTGCTGCCAGGCTTGCTGGGCAGGAAGGCGTGGAAGAACGTGGGAAAACTGAAAGGGACCGGCAACCGCCCCCTCGCCTTGCGTCTCATTTTAAGGTCAACCGAGGGATTGCAGCTGGATTCGAGTCTAGTAACCACTTACAGACTAGTATGATTTTTGCGGTGTGAGCTTTCAAGACTCAAAGCTCGCTTCATCAGATACAAGGATCCTTGTAGTTGACAGAGGAAGCTCAGACCCTCAAGGAAGAAGAATTTATACCCCCACCCTTCACTCGGAGTCTCAGAGCGGCTTACGACCCCCTTCTGTTCTCTCCCCACAACAGGCACCCTGTGAGATAGGTGGGGCTGAGAGAGCTCTCTCGAGGACTGCTCTTGAGAGAACAGCTCTGAAAGAATTTGTAACTAACCCAAGGTCACACCAGCAGCTGCATGTGGAGGAGTGGGGAATCAAACCTGGTTCTCCCAGATTAGAGTCCACACTCCTAACCACTACACCAAACTGGGTCTCATACCCCCCCTGCCCCCAAAATCTTGTTGGTCTCTAAGAGGCTACTGGACTATCTAGCTGTTCTATGGGCAGAACAACACGGCTACCGTGGAAAACTCTCTTGACTGCATTATCTGTGGGTTAAATTCAAGGAACCCCACAAACTATCCCAACAGCTGTCCCATAACTGTGGAACCCCCATCCCCCAAGTATGAGCCCCCGTTATTGTATGACCACTCCTTTCTGAACTGAGAGTTGCTGGCTAGGATTGAGGCGGTGTTGACCAACCTGTGCATATGCTATCTGTATTTTAACAGAAGCCTAGCTTTATTATGGATCTTAAAACACAGCTGCCTTGTCTAGAACCCCTGCGATGCGGAGGGCTATCGGCGAGAGAGGCTCTCTGACTTGCATATTCTCTTCAGTGGTGCGCATACACAGATCGCATCCCCGTGGGGGAGGAATCGACCCCAGAACCCTGACTCTTGGAGCGGCGACATGGGGTTCTGAAGGCGTGAGATAGACGTTGCCCGAAGCGTTCTGTCACGCTTGCTTAATGCGCTCGACGGCAGAGGACTTCAAAGGGGGCTGTCGACCTTCTCACACAACGTGACGATCACGGTGCCCTCTCGCATGAAAAGCGACCCTTCCTTTTTACCGCATTTGCCTTTAATGTCTCTGGGCCTTCCCCCCTGACCTTTGCCTTACATCCCCAGATAGAAACTAGCGATGAGCAGAACAAGTGTGGGCAAAAAGGGGCGGGGGGAACCGACGATTCATACAGCAAAAGGTTCTGGTAGCCGTTGGAAAGATTTTTATTCTGTGATCTCTGTTAAAACCTCTCAAGGGGGGGAGGGGGCTTCCATTGATCAACCGAGGAACTGGGGCCTGTGTCCAGATGGAGCAAAATTATCATCTGGGGCAGCCAGACCTCTTCCCTTTAGCCCCATCCCACTCCCAGCATGCATCAGCCCCCTTACAATGATGAAGGAGAAAAGATGAGCAAGTGATGCATTGGGCCGTATATTTGTATTCCTTTTACTGCTTCAGTATCACGCCGTCCTTGGCAGATTCCCAGTTACCTTGAAATCAGCAGTGAATCTCTACATTACGGCACACAGTAGGGGGGATTCTCTGGGGCAAAAGATGCCCTTTGTCACGGTTTGGGGGCCGGGAGGGAGTTGCCTGCCCTCTATGCTCCACTACAGGGGCTCTGCCTGGGCGGCCGCTAGCTCTCCTCCTGTCTCCCCGCACCTTCTTGCCCTCCACTTTCCCCCCTCCCCTTTGGGCATCCCAGCTGAAGCATTCCACACCGGTTTGGGGACCACCTGTATAACTCTCCTAGATTCCGGGGCTTCTTCTCTGCCCACATAAGCCTCCCAAACCAGGTGATTGTCAGGAGAGCAGTGTTCCCTCTAAGATGAGTTAGTGTGAGCCAGCTCACAGTTTTTTAGCCTCCGGCTCACAGATTTTTGTCTGAGCTCAGGAAGGATGTGGCTCCAGAGCAAACTAATGTATGCAGCAAGCCTCCTTTGCCCCGACCCCAGGATTAAACAGTCACCAGCCCTTCTCTGTGGGATGAGTGAATCCTCTACAGCGTCTTCCTCCCAGGATCCTATCTGCATCCTGTTCTTTCAGAGAGACCTGCCTTCTCCTTTTCTGAGGCAGCCGTTCATGGCCCGATCCGGATGTGTTAGCCATCTGGCTTGCCACTTCCCCATGTGCATTATGGGCGCACAAATTATTGCCCCGTCCCAGGGGTCATTTCCTGC